AAACTCGTGAGGCGACGAACGGCGGCGGCAAATAAATTTTGCGTATGACAGCGTACATACGCGGCTGCCCCTGTTTATAATAAATATATTCTGCGGTTATGCTATACTATAATAGAAGCTATTGCACCGTAGGTACTCAATTCTACTAATATTATGGGGACATTAAACCAATGAGCTTATTTGAACGTGATTTAAGACACAATGTAAATAAATTATATGCAATACTATTACAGATAAATAGTACCTACATATCAGATTTTTTCCCCAATGTTTAAATTATGTAGAAGCCAACGGATTAATCATAATCCGGCTCGAAGGATCAGCACCTACTGGGTATGCCCGGAAGAAAATTTTGTCTTGCGCTAGTGAAGCATAACAGATATGATGATAGCATTTTTATTAGATATAGGCTCGACTCAATATAGACCAATAACACAACTGGCATTTAACTAGTATATATATAGTTTAGCTTTAGTGCGCGTCCTGATATGGCTTGCCGTTTGGCAATGACTGTGGCTAAAGAGCGGCTTAGCTCGGCATTGGCTAGCTAATGGCGACATCTCGTGGCGTGATGTGGATTTACACTATTTTAATAACATACGTGAAAATTAAAAGGCTGAACTTATTTAAATGTAACTTAAGACACAATGTAAATAAATTATATCTATTACGATTATAGATAATAATAATAATCATTTATTTACAAAATATTGGTGATTGCCAGTAGCAGATCTTAAGTTATTGTTAAGTAATTGTTCAGCAATATTTACCATTTCAAATGTTTTTTTTTTTTTATAATATCCAAAATAAGTCAAATTAACATTCAAATTACAATTACTAATAAGCTTTTACAATGTCAAGTATCACAAATTACATCTATTCAAAAAGTCTTTCACAGAATAGAAACAACCATCAATTAAGTAGTCAAACAATCTTCTCCTAAACTGTGTGTTGGTCAAATTTTTAACATTATTAGACAATTTATTATCGATAAATAGTACCTACATGTTTGATTTTTAAAGCCGACATTTAAATCATGTGCAAGCTGATGGATTAAACATAATCCGGCTCGAAGGATTAGAATCTTCTGGGTATGGCCGGAAGAAAATTTTGGCTATAGCAAGTATTTTTAGAGATAATTATTATTCGGGTATATACTGAATTGTACATAAGGCCTCTATATAATTTCTGGTATAACGTCCTACATGCAGACATATAATTTATTTATTGTAACAATTATTTTATCATAGTACGCGTATTATATTGAATTATCTGCAATTATTTTATGTTTTATTATTAGATTGTACAACATTATTGGTAACATAAGTATTTTTTTATTATCATTATCATCATCATCATCTCGGCCATTATTTGTTCACTGCTGAACATGAACTTCCCCCATAGACACAAGGAACAGTCCTAAACTACCTGCATCCACTGTTTTTTTTTTTAATTAACGTAAAAAATTCATACAAGCTGATGATCTATAATCGTGATGTTTGGCAAACAAATTTTGGTTGTTTTGCTACCTTTTGCACAGCCAGTACTAACAGTGTTTAACTGCTTGCTCAACACTTCCTATCCTGTGGACACAAACATAACTCTAGAGGGGGCCCGTCCAACACACTGGTGGCAAAATCGCGCCGTGTAGAGGTTTTTAATTAATACGAGTGAGCGAGGCTACGGTGGGAAATAAATCTTGCTTAATGTCCCTTTGGTCTGGTCAGGCCGGCTGGTATCTATCGATTTGGTATACAGCCTGTGAGACAGACACGAGAACTACAGTCTGTAAACCTTATCTGAATGGTAATCTTGATTTCACCTTATTCTGCTACAAAGCTTGCGTCTTCTCCAGGTATCCAAAGGTTACCTGGAGGAGATCGGTTTTATTGATAAGGTCGCCCATTGTTTTCTCACTGTGATTATTTCTTGTAATTGTTTATATTTATAATAAGTTTACTATTGTAATCTTTTGGAGGAAACAATAAAGAGTATCTATCTATCTACATATCTTTCAATTCGAAGAGAATATAATATGGCAGTAAAATTACTGGGTACCTAAGATAGAGAGGAGGGGAGAGAGAGATTTTATTTAATGGATGATAATGAAATGGTAACCCCGCCTGCAGTGTTAATATACACTGGGGGGAGTGCCATTGAGGGATGATTAGTGAGGAGGAAAAGGCAGGTCAGTTACCCTATCGTGACTAATTAAACGATAAAGTAGTCACCACAGTTTCCAGGGGGAACCACGTGGAGGTCGACCCGATAGGATATATCGATAGCAATAGGGACTAACCTCCCACAATTAAGAATCCCTTCCCCCCTAAAGGGGGAGAATGTTAGTAATGAGTCAAGTCGACCCCTCCACGTGGTTTCCCCTGAACACCACCGTGCTGAATCCCAGGTGTTTTCATCATGATGGGCTAACTGACCTGCCTTTTCATTCTCACCTATCATTTCTAACTGGTGCCCCGAAAGCGTATACTGTTAGCGCAGGCGGGTTTATAACTACAACTTCTAAAGTAATTTTTTAATATATATATTTTTTTTTATTGCTCAATAAATTTTTTTACAAATCGTTTTTAATTCCTCACGTCACCAAGGTCGGATACGTGGGACTGATACCTTTGATGTTGCAACAGGATGTGGTAGCAATACGCTTGTTGCTATTTTTGAAAACTATAATGAAAGAAATAAATTACGAATTTTGAAAATAATCTTTGAAAATAATTAACTTTTAGACTGTCGCGTTGCATGTTTTAAATGAAAATAATTGCATTATTTTCTGCTTCTGTAAGAAACGACTTTTAGCATTACTACACTACATATCGTCATAGTCGTAGAATACTGACGGATCTGACAAAGATTACATAAAAGATCCGTCAGTATTCTACGACAATGACGATATATATTTTACATAAATACATATCTTAGATATTTTACACACAGCCATCTTGTACCAAAGTAAGTAGAGCTTGTACTTTTTGCATTGAATAATGTGTTGTTTATAAATAAATCAATTTAAAGGAAATAATGATAAAATTAATATAATGGAATAATTAAATAAAACAGACTTCACGAACTAACTTAACATATTACTACCGAAAAATTATTTTATAAGTTATTTTCGTACTGTACAGACATAATAAATATTAATATTTTAAGCTATGTTTAAATGCCCAATTTTCAAGTCTAGTTTGGACATTGTACAAGTATAAAGAAATAGTTTTTACGCTTTTGTTATTAGACTATAAAAATAAAATATAGTACTAAGTTTGTAATGCAGAACAGAGATTTTATATTTCATATGATTTACGTTATGATAAACCGTCCAATAAAACTGAATTATCTACTCTCAGGCTTATAATAGAACTACTTTTTATACCCATTCATAGCAACATAGTGAATATTGATGCTGCAATCAAGCTTAGACTTGAAACTGGCATAAAAATGTTTAACAATTTTAATAATTCACTTTTTATTACTTTCATTACAAAGTACTGTGATAATATCTTTAAAGCAGTATATGGTGATTGGAAAGAGAATATGCAGGATTGTTTATTGCTTATGTACATGGTTGTTACCGGAAATTAGTCGTCACTTTTAGCTACCTATAAAAATATTACTTATTGGTGTATATAATTGTGATATTTTTATTATTGCAAAGCATTTAGGTAGGTCTTATATTATTTATACTTTTCTTTATATGTAATGTTAAAAGATAAATACTTAACATACGTCTTACGTCTTACTTAACCTGAGTTAAATAAACATAAACACAAAGAGGTAATGCTGCCAGTATCTTGGGTACACTACCTCGGTGTGGTGCGTTGGGAGATTACTTATAATTAGTATTAAGTATTTAAGGAATTGTATATTATTTTTAATTTATTAATGTGATAATATATTGAATAGACGATAAAAAAAAACATTAAAAGTTTAATTTTAAATGTAGTCGGATATTATTAAACAAGGATACTATAGAGAAAATTATAATATATAAATAAAAATAATTGATATATTTTTAAAAATAAAATTAATGATGCCACTGATAACCTAATGTCTTCAAATGACTTTAAACATGCACATTAATTTAGGGTCAAAGTATAAGTCATGATAAATCTTATGCACAAATTTGAACAAACTGAACATAATAATTTTATAAGGTTAAAAATAATTGATTTTATTATACATATATCTGTTAAATAAAACAATAATCATAACAATACTGTAATACAAAAATTAATAGAAACCATTGAACAATACTTATTTCTTAAAGGACATTTTTCTATTCATTTCATTCAACGCCAACCATTCCACGATATGGAATATTTTATGCAGTTTGCAGCAACCGTTTTGTGCAATGATAATATCAGAGCAACGTATTTTTCTGACTGAATCCTAAATAACGAAGATTTTCATTAGATAATCCATTCAGAGATATTCATCTTCAAATGCTGTTTGAGCAAACTAGATTGAATTTTCCAATTTTGAGTCCCTCTAAGCTCGCCTTTGTAGTGTATATAATTGCCTATTAAATTCTTAGAATCCGAGCTAAAACTACTTTCTTTTCCATTAAATTTGTTAGCCGAATCTAATTTCTTTTTTTGCTCTATTGAACCTTAATTATAACTTTGCCGAATTCTTAGTGTTTCTGAAATGAAAACATGTACGAATCTTACAGACGGTGTATAAAAATTAAATGTTTGTAAGTTCGATTTTTAGTAGTTTATTTGACTGAATTGAAATTGTTTACATAAACATTTTCAATTTAATAATGTTTAGTTACTATTTATTTAGACCTAATTTCTTCCACATCTGATTTTTGAAATTATTGATCGTGAAATAAACTTTATTACTCATGCTCCGTAGATGTTATTTTGATTACATTTGATTGAATTTTAAAGTAACATATTATTATTAATGTGCGGCTAGTTTGGATCTTCAATAAATGGTTACTTTCAAATTTTTAAATAACAATATTGTCTTTGTTTCAGGAATGCGACATTCCTTGAACCTCACCTTCAAGGTATAAGACGTCGCGATAGCAGGAGTTCAGACTCGGATCACGATGAACGATCGACAGAAGACGACGAGCGCTCTCTCATCCGCTGCACTCAGCGAACGAGACTACCGCCCCCTCCTCCCCCACCGCCAGACGACGAGCCCCCACCACTGAAGCCTCGAGAGTTTTTCGAAAGACTCCAGAGTCAAGCTATGAAGGAGCAAGAGAAGCAGAGGCCACGAGATACAGCTTTCAAAGACAACAGTCTATTTAGGCCGGTTGATCACGAAGGCAGTCTAGGAGATAGTCTAAGTCAGGTATGTTTTTTTCTTATTCAGTATCTAATTAGTCATTAATAAAAAAGTCATATCTGTCTGTTAAAAAGATCATATAGCAATTTGGATGATGTGCTAGAACAATTTTGTTAAACATGTACATATTTAGCAAAATTGTCATAGCACTTTCAAAATGTAATAATTTTTGACAGTGGTTTGACTCGGTGATTCCAAAAACAAAAATTTTGCTTGTCTATATAAATTTCCAACTAACTCTCCGGTAATAGAAACACCAAATTACTCCGAGTGACGGCGATGGGCTTGATCTATGTTAAGTTGGATTCTAAAATATACGGCGAAATACATATATGAATATAGCGTGTTATGTACGTATTATATTATCTATTATTCTGTTCTCCACAATGGCAACAGTCGATAAATGCCTCCAACTATCACATCAGAGATTATAATTGTAACCATATTGTTGTTATACTTCTGTTCTATCTTCTGCTATATACTTATCTGCTATTTAACATTATTTAACTACTTGAAATAAAATTTATTACATTTTAAATAGATACTTAATAATTTATATTTTAAGTTCAATTTTATTATTTCAATAATAGTAGACTGTTTGTAATCCCAAAGAGACTATTCCATATAATGTGCATCGCTTACGCGGCAGCATCAAAACATTGTATGTACAAATTCTTTAACTTCGTAAAAGTTGTAAACTAACAAACTACCGTGGAGTCCATACTACAAGGAGTATGTACGATCACTAATGAACCGTACTGCGTCCCTTTAGTCCGTGGACTAACTTTCACAAGTTAGATCTATTTGCATACCCGTATTCGTTCGAAAATTACATTACATCCCTAAATGTATTCCTGAGGCTCTAATACTTGAAAGTATATGATATTATCTGTAAAAAAAAAGAATGAATTAAAAGCATTTTTACAAATTTTGCAGTTTATATTTATGAACTTTTTTTATAAAAATATGGATACTACATTATTAATAGGATCAAAAAATTCTCTCAAGCATGATCCATGGGGATTCGAATTTATATTACTCTGCTATTCAGTGTGAGTTATGCTAACTGGGAGCACACTTATCCCGGATAGCAGAGAAATGTGGATTCTAATCCCAGCCGTTGGAAGGTAAATTTGACAACCTATTAAAATTTCACAATGCCTAAAGTTATGCATTCAAAATATTTGCAAACATAAAGACTAATAGGAAATGATCGTTTATTTTTGTCAGACCAACCAAACAAATGAATGGAAATTGTCTTCGATTCCTTTTCTGTCTTCATAAATGTAATAAAAAAATAGATGGTTGCTTTATTGACTTACTTTATTAAGTGACTCTTCAAGAAATATGAAACTCCAGTTTGTGCAAATATTGTCTGTCTTCAACAAAATATATATATAAATCTTAATTTAATCAACATTGTTGTATACTACTGTGGCCCAGTAGCAGAAAGCACGTAGCTTCTCATACATGAGTCTTTGTCAAAACGAAACAAACTTCAATTTTTTTTGTCTGGATATTTTTAATTGTACTTTCAGATATTCGTTGACTAATTTCTGATCAATTAGCATTACTAATTAAAATATATGCAATCGAGAAGTGATATTTGACTTGTATATATATGTATTATATATACCACATACTCAATTATTATTCCTTTAATAAACTGTTTAGTACCTTAACTGTTAGTTTATTATATATATATATATATATATATATATATATATATATATATATATATATATATATATATACATATTAGGATTTTTAATAAAACAAAAAAAAATAATTTATTGAACTTAGTGTTATTTTGCGGAACTCCATATCAAGAGTTAGTTGATTAGAATTATTATGTTTAATTCCGCTGCCATTAGTATGCTGCGATTTTTATTATTCTTCATCGAGTGTTGGCAGTCGTACACGCACTAATGGTAGTGGAATTAAACAAAAGAATTCTAATCAAGTAACAAATAAATAAACAAATGTAAAAATAAAATAAACAAAGCTTTTGTTTGCGATCCCGCCGGAGCGATATCGAGCAGGCGTATCGTACACATCTCTAGATACATTCCACTTTTTGTGTTCTCCTCTTCTATTTTCCTTCCATTACCATGTGAATGCGATGTTATTGCGCCGCGATAGCAATATTTTTCAATTCTCGTCGTGATTAAATTTGCGGCGATGTCAATGGACGCTTCAGTACCGGGAGCGTCGCTTTGAGATGCGATTTGTGAATCCAAATGTAACTTCGCGTAATAGCTAGCTTCTATAAAATATAATAATTTCCTTTAGAGTTCCAACGATTGTGAAGCCTTGAATGCTATGAAATTTGATTGTTGAAAATGTTATTGAAGACGGCGTATACTTTTAAAGCGACTGCTAAAGAACGAGGTTTGTCTGTATTTTTTATTTATTTTTTTTGCCTATCGACTGGGTATACTCTTGTGTTGATCTGTTACACATTTTGACGCGTTGAAAATAAAAATCGCTGTTTCAAGCAGCTTTTTTATTTTCAACCGACTTCAAAAAGTAGCTAGTTCGCAATTTAATTGTATTATTATATTTCATCATATCAGCTGTTAATAGTTCAGTGCTTAACATAAGGGGTTATTCTCTTCATATGGGGGTTTGTGGTTCTGTTTTCCGCAGTGCTGTCCGTGTTAGATATTTATTGTAAATTATATTAATTTTATAAAACATATTGTGTTAAAATGTGTACCTACATTTATTAATAAAAATCAGACTAACTACTTTAAATATAATAAAACGTTAAAATTGTTATTATACCAAATTTGGTAATAAATTATTCTTATAATGTATATAGAACACTAATTTATATTTTAATTAATTTTATAATTATTTATTATCATGATACTTAAATAAAAAGTAATGAAATTGTAAGAACCACGTGTTCTCACTGACTTGTTCACTTGAATTCGGCCTGTAGATGTAAAAGATGTCTTTTCCTCCAAAGAAGACTTGTTCAATTGATTCTTGTCCAACCGTTGAACAGAGCGGAGCTTCCTGCCGTATCAAGAGTGAACAAGTATAGTAAACCACGTGGTCATTATATAAAATATATCACAATAATTGTTGATGGAAGTCTAAAAGAAGCTATAATTAAATAAGTTTCAATGGATTGGTCAACAGAAATTGGGTATTTATGTTATATTATTTATGTTATATATACCCCACATATCATATATATATATATATATATATATATATATATATATATATATATATATATATATATATATATATATATATATAATACCACCTTATTGGAGATCCGCATGAAAAGGTACATAAAATATTTTATGAGTTAAAATATGATACATATACATACAGCTTATACATATACCTACATAAAATTTCAGCCAATTCTACTGATCGTTTATTTTATAGCATTTTATATGTGAGTCTTTAGACTGATAGAACTTTTTTATTTATAAACCGATTGAAATAAAACAAACACTAAATGTGAAGTTGGGCAAACTATAACCGCCGATTAAGCCGTTTCTGAGATTAGCGTCCATAAGCGTACAGAGAAATGGACAAAAATTCTAAAAATCATTGTTTCAGGTTCTATATTTTCTATGTACAGACAGCGACCAATTACGATTTCATTATAATGTATTGATACCAAATTACGCTTTAATATCATCATCATCGTCAGTTGTTATCTCTCCACTACTGAACATGATACAACATACATAACAACAACAGTCATAAAAAATGCTCTTGATCCATCCATCCACGATTTTACATAATGATACAAAATTGTCCAACACGCTTTATACAAATTTTTAAGTTTCAATACAAAGGTAACATAAAAGTCTCATGTTTCAGCACTTACCACATCTTTTGGCATAACATTTGCGTACAAAACACGTACGCGTGCACTCAAAACGCACTCACAGGAACCGAGTACACTCTAGGTGTAATGTCGCGCAGTCGATAGCGGCATTTGCTTTGTGTAAAGTTGAAACCTGTCTTGCACTATGTCACAAATACAATGTTAGATACAGATGTTGCATACAATTTTTAACTTTAAGTACAAATATAAGAGATTATTTACGAATAGAGTCAACCTAAATTTCGTTTAAGAGTTTTTTCTAAATACTATAATACTATTGGTAACAGTAGGTACATATTTTTTTTGTAAAGTCCATTATGTTGTTCATATTTATAGGCAATGCTCGCCATTTTCTATCAGGTTGGCCGTCAGCTTGTTTGCCATTTTAAGCATAAAATTTGTATTAAAGTTTCTAAAATATATTTGATTGTTTGTACGTGTTAATTTCAGAATTAGGAAAACGAATTAATTTTTTTATGCAACTTAGAATAGCAAGCAAGCTGACGGTTCATCTGATCGAAAGTGGTAACCGTCGCATATAGACACGAGCAGTACCATGGACTTAACAGAGTATACTGTTTCACCCAAGATACCCCCCATGCGTTGCCATTCCTGAAGACTCAGGTGTTATTCCTCTGTAACTCAGTGAAAAAGTTGACCCGTTTCTGAGGCTCGATGCTTTATCTATATAATCTAAACATATAGCATAATATTAGAAATACATTTTATCCCAATTTCCAAAAGTAAGTTACTAGTTGTAATCCAGCAGGTTACAACTAGTAACTTTATAAAACTTTAATATTACACACTCGCATAAAACGAATTATATCATAACCCTAAAACTTCGACTGCTAATAGAATTTCCCTCATTTCGGTCAACTAAAGGGTTGTAAATTTGAAATATTCATTACACCGCTCATCTGGACTCTCTACCCTTGAATTAGAGTGTTCTCAACAAAGTTAACTGCCTATTTAAACAAATGTAACGTGCGAACAACTCACAAATTCTAGAAAGTTCCGCCCATAATGTAATGGGGTTTAATGGTAATAAATGTGTAAAGGGTTGGTTTTAATGGTTATTTTAAACTATGAAAGGTATCGCGCCGCTGTTCGATGATATTATGTAGAATTACTGCTGACTATCACT